AATTAAGTGGCTCTTTTCCAAAATATGATCTTAGAGGTATTAGTGGTCCCCAGGTCTGTCTGGTGGTCCCCAGGTGGCCTGTTTTGGTTTATGAAACGTGTGGTGTAGTGTCCATCATTTGATAGTTCATGAGTCTAGGAAAAATACAGATAAAACTCATAGCTGATATTTTAAGATGAATTGTGGAGGACGTTTTTACCCTGAGAGAAAAATTACCTACGATCTGAAGATATAATTACACAAAGACACCTCTCTTGGCTGATGGGTTGAAAAATGGTGCCTCTTCTTCTGGGCTCACCCCACTCCGCTGGGCCAAGAGACACGCTCTGCTGGCAGAGCCCGGGCTGGTGGCCAATGCAGCTCTTGTGGTCCTCTCTGCCACATGCACTTGGGCGGGACACGGGCTCCACTCGGGGTCCAGTCACCCTCAGAATCTCTGGCTCCATCCGGGCGGAGCGAGCGCGATGATCAGATTGGTAGTGGATCACCGCAGATCATAAGCACGGTCACAGATCCGAGGAGTTACGCAATGCAGAACTTGAAAATACGAACCAGACCACTAAATACAATTGGCCATAATTGACTCATTATACGATGTTGATGAGTCACTGAACTTCTTAAGGTGGGCCACAATAATTTGGGACAAAAGTACTAGTAGCAAAGAGAAATTTATTAAAGCTGGATGATCAGAAAAATAATTTTAATTAGTTTTATTGCTATATTTCTATGAGAAACAGGAGGAGTTAGTCACTTCAAGATTTTTGGGGGGGCAAGTGGTTGATTAATAAGACCAAACATTTATACAATATGAACTAAATGGAAAGATGTATGTAAATAAGTATTTTCAAAGGAACTTTATTACTTTCAAGGGCTCTGAATCCAAGAACTGCATTAACCATTTGTTGCTTATCGAAGAAGCCACTTTAATAAATAAAAAATATCTTGAGACCAGCACATCAAAGCCTTGATTTCAGTTGTACCGGCTTCTACTTATACTGAAATTACAATATATCTAGTAAATTGTTATTTTAATATGCAGAAGTGTTTTCCCTAGTAGGCAAACATTTCCAATAACATTATTCATCCTATTTATTTGCTTACTAAAAATAAGTGTAAAACTTAAGCTTTTCAGGGCCAAAACCACAAGCCGATAATTAGTTTTATCTAAATTAATGAGGGTTTTCTGTACTAATTTCTAACAGTGTAATACTAAATTCTAGGAAAAGCTATTGCAATTAAAATGGAGAAAGGCAATAAAATATTTGGCAAACAGATAAATTAAAGGTCTAATTCCATCCTAAGTCCCAATTAAAAGATTTTTATACCCATATCATCTGTATAAAGACATTCCAATTATGAACATAACAAAATTTATTATCAGCTTTTGTTTCCTGCACAAAATTGGAACCAGAACCACTGGTTCTGAAGTTCATGCCCACGAAGTTCATCTACAGGATGAGCTTTGGTTTAGGTTGATCCCAAATTTACATAAGAAACTGACCCTGGACTGGAGTCAACTCTTGGCTCTTCCTTGTAATTTGGAATTTCCTTAAACGTTTCTCTTAAAAATTTCTTCCAAGGAACAAAGAATATTCTGGAACAGCAACCAGGGTACATAATGACAGGTTTGAAATGAAGCAAATCCCGTGTGGCAACACATCTTATTTCACAAATCCCATAATGCTTTTAAATGGCCCCACCTTGGTCTAATATGCATGTTTAGATAAAGGAATGAAAACATTTTTATTTAGACAATAGTTGCTATATAAAGTTATAGACATGAAAGTATTGATAATTATTGGTCATTTATTATGAAGGGGTTGAAAATGTGTTAATACTTCAGTATTCCAATTTTTAGATTACATCAGTAACTTCTTATAGCAGCCTCTAAGGCAACCTACTGCAAACTTCATATGAACTTGAGAATGTTTTGAAGTGTAAGCTGTAAATTTCGTAAGCAAAAACTCTTCAAATGCATTTTGAATGACCAATCTTGGGTGCATAAGTGAAACCTAAATAATCTTACTAGGACATTCCGAGAGAAATATTTCCCCCAAATAAATCTCTTTGTGAATGTCATCTTTGCTCAAGTGTACCAGACTATGTCTTAGACTCATTTTCAACAAATACAGTTTATTTGAAAATGTTCAAAATCAGATGGTTTAAATTTTTCTCCTCTTAGCAATTTGCTTTAACCCATTTCACTGGTTTTTTTTTTTCATTCTAACCTTGGGTTTTTGCATAGTTCTGTTTTGGTGACAATCTATTATCAGCGGGCGCCCCTTTAGAAGGAACATCCAAAGTTCTTATGTTCAGCAATGTGCCCCATAAAATTACTCCAAAAGCCAAATCTTGGCAAACAATAAGAAAGCTTCTTGAAGATCAATGTGAATTTGACAATTATTGAGATCTTCACTTTCACTCCAGTGCGGTCTAAGGTTTATCTAGGACAAGAGAAGATAGCATGTTTTTGGAATGCTAAGAAATAGTAAGTCATGAAGAATTAAACTGTCACCATGCCCATTTGACTGAAAAATAACAACAAATAAGAGCAATTAGGATAATCTGCAGCATTTGACAGTCTCGTTAAATTCTGCTTCAAGAGTCAAAACATGTCATTTCAGAGTCAGAGCATAGACGCTCTTCCCTGCTAAAATCGGAGAAAGTCAGCAATGGTGTCACGTAAATAATTAAATCATTAAGGTAGGAAAGGAGGGAGGGGAGGAGTACAGGAAAACTGGGGGTGGGGGATGGGAAGCAGAAGAGAAGACAAAAAAAAATGTTTTCTAAAGTATAAATTTGGGGAAAAAAGTTAAACTCATATGCTCCTTACGGTAAGAAAATAAAAATGCCCTCCCCCATGACTCCCCGTCTTCTCTTCAGCGACAGAAATAAACAGAAACAAATGTATGACAAGGGTTCTGTAATCTACTACATGCAGGTGCCTTCAAGTACACTATCTGCCTGCCACCTTGGAGTAACATTTGTTCTGTTTCCATTATGTAGCCAGCACTGCACATTATTCTTCCACCTACAAGCAGCCACCGACTCTTCCTGCAGTTAAGCGAGGGATGCTGTTTTTCTTCAGCAAAAAGCCGTTCGCTCACCTTTCAAGGAAGGAGGCAGGCAAGTCTTCACCGTGCCGTCCTGGGTTCCAGGATTGCTAGAACTTGCAATGCAAAGCCTCACATAGGGATTGTCACTTTCATCTGTTTACCCTTCCATGCATCCCGCTAACAGAAATGTATCGAGTTTTCCCTGCATGACCGGTCCTGCCTGGGGAGCTGGGGATAAAATGTGAACAAAAGGGGCAAAGTCCCCATCTTCAAGATACACCCCCAGGGGCTTAAACCAATATTTACATAATTATATAAAAATATGTAACTGAAAACTGCAGTGAGTGACATGAAGGGAAATTATAGGATGCTATAGAATCCTGTAATGAAAGGATTTGATTCAGAGTTTTTACATGTCCTGAGAAAAACAAAAGAAAACACGGACTTTGGTTTTTTAGGGGTGGTGAGAGTATTTTTTTTATCTGCTAACCACAGCCAATAAAATACTTAAGCAAAATCTCATATGATGTTATTTGTGCTGAAATAAAACTTCTTGGGCCTTTGTTTGCTTTTAAAGCTCTTTCCATGGGTATCAAAAAGATTTCAGAAATGAAGAATGAAAAACAAAGTTTATTTATAGCGGTTTAGTATGTTAATTTAATATAAGCTAGAGGGTTTTAAGAGGCATGGAAATCAAAAAATTCAGAAGTGGTGGATCTTGCCTAAACAGAGCAACAGGCCTGGATCAGAAAGAATTCAGAGGGTTCCAGTCGCCTTCCAACCCATCCTCGCTGTGCTGTCTTGGCCAATTATGTAGCCTCTCTGCACCTCAGTTTCCTCATCTCTAAAGCAACTGCTGTGCCCACCTACAGGATCCTGCTGAGGGCAAATGAGTTAATGTACATGACAGCATTTCATGATGACCAGTATAGAAAGGATAGCACAGAAAGAAAGAGAATGACACATTAAAAATACCAGCACCGGTGTGAATCGCCCATCAGGGGAATTAGCAGTGACTCTCCCAAAACACTTTATTAGCTATTTGAAAGATGTCATTGTGTCTATCCTTAAATTGCTCATTAATCATCTCAAGCAAAAGCTCCTGCCAATATTATCAGAGCCAATTACTTAGCACGTCACACTTACTACACTGAACCCCCCCGCCCCGCCCCCCGAAAATGCTTTCTGCAGTAAGTAATTATATGTGTACTCGGGACTCAACTTGAACTGAGAGAGGAGAGGAAAATGACATTGTATTGAAATACATACTGCTTGGCTCCTTTCTTTTTTTTCTCCCCCTCTTAGATGCATATTCAAGGACGATAGAGTAGACCCAAAAGTGAAATAAGTTCGACTTGAGAAAAAAATGTCATTCATTCAGAGGAATTAGGTAGTAATACTTACCTAAGCTCATCTCCTCAGCGGGCACCATATTTTCACTGCAGAGGCGACCTTACATTTATTTCTGATTCCAGAAGAGCATTGCTCAAGAGACACAGGGCCCGTGGCCACCTACCTTGCTAGAAAAATGGGCCATTCTGAGAAAGGATGTCTCCTTTCCCCGTGGAGACATTTTTAACCAGTGCTGTCAGAAGGAATCACTCTGCATTCACCTCCCTGAGTTTCACGGCGAGTACTCCAAAGATGTCAGGGAGATTTTGTAAATTCTAATCGTTTGCAAAACGTCCTGGACTGCTCTCTTCTGAAATCAGTTCAACACACTAAATAACTGTGTCCATTATTGACATGTTACCATCTCAGTTAAAGGGCAGTAATTAAGTATAAATCAAGCATTAGAAAACAAAATGCACTGTCTTAAACACAATCAAGGAATGGGTTATTTATGACCAAGATTGAAAATGTGCTTAGGTTGAATTTCCTCTTTACTCGGTGTGCTCTATTTTTGCATAAAACGGAAACACATAAAATAGGAAATGCCTCAGCTTTATTAATGCAAACATATTTTTATTAAAGAATGAATGCATTTATGCTAAAGAATAGTTTACATGTGTTGGAAAGCAGCAAGCATATCTCCAAGAGGCGGGCTCTCCTCAATAGGACTCCATGCTAATTCTACATGCCTTAAACCCGGGCCCGCACATGGGGCACACAGACACGACACAGACGCATGTAGGGACACACACATACATAGACCAAAAACACCAACACCATTGCTCCCGGATGCAATTAGCTCTCATTTAAGGCTTCTGTAAGGTGCCCCAGTGCCCCTAACAATACCAGGACTGAAAACACTTTCATAAATGAGCAGCATTACCTGGGAAACTAGCCATTTGCTGTGGGTCTTAAATGTATATATTTTAACAAATACGTTCCATTTCATTCAGTGTTGACCCTTGGCATTTATGACATTGAAAGATCCATGAAACTGAGCAATCTCAGGCTTCGTGAGAACGTCTCATTAGAAACAGCGAACGCACTGGCAAACGTGACCCGGAGATGTTACCAATTTGGAGACAGCAGGGTCAGATTTCCCCTTCGATCAAGATGGATACAAGTGTCCAAAACTCACTGGAGTGCAAGGTTGAGTGAGGGCTGCAGGCTTCCTTGGTGATACCAGGTCAGATTGGCAGCGTGCCGTCTGATCAGATGCATCCGACAGGACCATCACCTAGGTAAGTTACCAGACATCAGGGCTGAACAAAGGACAGCCTCCGTGGAGTTTGTTCATTTTGTGATAACTCATTCCCTTTTTCCGAGGTCTCTGTGGTGGTGGTGGTGGTGGCGGTTTTAAACTACTAGCTGGTTTGATGGGTGATTCCATCTGCTCAGTTATTTTCTTCCCTTTTGGTGGCCTGCAGTGCACGCTGAGCGTCACCCCTGTGGGGACGTCGGCATGGGTTGGAAGGGGAAAGGCAGGGGATGGGGCAGGAGGAGGGAAGGGTTATTAGTTGTTGCAAGGATTCTAAGAAAATAGATGACGTGAATACAAGAAGAGGGTACTACTTGATATATTGATGTAAATAAAAGCGTTGTCTTTAACTGTGAAGTAACTGCCAACTATCAGGCTGTTATTAGCTGTAAAGCTCAGTGAAGGCTGTGCTGATTGGCTTACTGAGGAGAGACTCTGAAACATGCCAAGGGGGAGGAGTCTCCGGATTGAACCCACCTGACCTTGTCCTTTAGCCCTGGGACTTCCACACCAGCGTCAGCACTTGCCCCTCCACCCCCCGCCCAGGACTAGGGATCCGATAAGTGCATTCTTGCTGGGTTTCATAAGGCAAACTGGAGCAGTCTGTCAAATAACAGCCTCAGTGTATTTGCCTGAGAATGGCGAACATCAGCATGGAGCTTTTCTACTGGGAGGCACTGGGGAATGAGAAAAAAAAAAGAGAGAGAGAGAGAGAAGGAGAGCGTAGGACTTCGCCCCATCCACACTTCCACCCTCCTCATAGTCACAGCAGTAGCAGATTTCAACGTAACATAATTACTTTAATAATACATTTCTCTAGATTTAGAATCGCTCTTCTGAATTTAAAAAGCTTGGTCAGCCAATCGTTCGGCAGTCTCTCATCTGAAATGTGTGAATCGTTGGTTTTTCATCTGTGGTCTGCAATGCCTGGACCAGTGCTGCCTCCGCTGAAGCGCCCCCAAGTTCCTTCAGCCATCATCCGATTCCAATTCCTGGGAAACTTCCTCGGAGGAGCTGTTCCTGTGGATCCGGCCATCGCTCTTCATACTGTGGAAAGTCTTCCTGAAGGCCTCCATCATGGCGTGGGCCAGCTTCTTGGCCTCCAGCTTGCTCTCGCACTCCACGGCGTGGCAGTCCATCTGGTAGGACAGGTCGTCGTTGATCTCCCTGTAGACCCAGGCGAAGATGTTGGGGCTCACGTTGTGGTCGGCGGTGCAGTAGGCGATGCGGGCCACCTGGAAGGTATCCATGTGGACCGTGGCCTCCCCTCTGTGGTCGAGGTGATGGAGACACACTTGGAATGGTCGGATTTCCAGAAGGGCATTGGCCGGAAAGATGTCTTCTCGGGCTAGCGTGTGCTTCTTCCAGAGCTCGATGACGGGCTTTTCCGTGCAGCCTGGGAAAAACTGCATGCCTGTGGTGGGGACTTTACCGAGATAGGTGACCTGCAGAGGAGAGACAGGGAGAACACAGGAGAGGTCAACAGCCAACTCTTCATGCTCGCTGTTCGTTTCCAAGTTCCAGTCGCGGTGTCACAGAGGGAAGGTGGAGGAGCATCTTTCTTGCTCCCTGAATGAATAACTGCCATCAGAATTGTTACCTTTTCTCCCTAACAAGTGAACCACTGGACAAAGATATTGAAATTAGTTAAATGAAGTTGGATTTAAAAAATCTAATTTCCAGAGAACTACTCTCCTTCTCCCTACCTTTCTTTTAAGATCACATTAAACTGAGTGATTAAGATATTTCACATAATTTGGCACTTCTTTAAAATCATAGAGCCACGTGGAGTTTGTTTTCAACCAAACACAAGCAGGAAAGAGTCAAAAGGATGAAGCATCTGAAAAACAAAGTCTTTATTAAACCTCTCCTAGTTTGGTCCTTTCTAAAGCTGTCAGTGTTCAAGTCCACTTAAGTGATGTGCTTCTAGAAAATGCCAAGGACACACACACAAATGTTCTGTTTAAATTATGGCCTAAAACAGCATTGTTTTCTCTCCAAGATAATTTTTGAAAATATAGAAATACAGTTGTGTTTCAACCTAAACAGTTTCAAACTGATGGGCACCATCTGGTTATAGTGATAATAAATGAAAGATCTACAGATGGTTGGAGGCTCAGAATGCAAACTTATCAAAGAGCTACATGGGCAGTACAAAAACAAAGAAAAATAATTCCAAGTGATTCAACTAGTATCTTCTTAAAAGCCTATTTATGAATACCAAGAAGGGATTTTCATTCTTTCATTTTTTATTCATCAAAAGAGACAGAACTGCTACCATTTTGAAAATGCATCATACTGAAGACATCACTTAAGCATTAACACAAAATAGCATATAATCTGGTACAAAATTAGTGGCACAGATATAAATACTATAGAATTGAGGAGAAAAAGACCAGATAAAAGGTCCATGGAAATGGTGAGAGCTGAGAAAGAACATTTGGCCACAGTGATTCCAAATCCATGTTGACATTTACTGGGGCTATAAAGGCCATGTACAATAATTTCAGAACACAGAAGTATTGGTACAACTTCTCGTGCTTTATCTCTTAAACTAGAGTTAACTGGACTCTTCATTTAGAAACATAGGTCCTTAGTAAGGAGGCAGAAGTGCTGCACATTCTAGAGATATTTATTCAGAATCTATTTATACATAATGGCAATATGCCAGGTGGGCATGGAGGAGGGGGGGTAAAGATGGAGTGGCCCCCCAAAAATCAAGGGGAAACAACTGGATATTTGTTCAGAGGTAGGCAAAGTCAAGATTTGAATCCTAGCTCCACCCTACACCAGGTGGGTGGCTCTGGGCACGCTACTAAGCCTCTGCATGTGCATAGACATAATTGTGACCTAAGGAAGACCTGGAGAAGGGCAGCGAGGGGGACTACAAGTACCCTGGACATTCAGTGGAAGGAGCTGTGGTGCCCTGCTGGCAGAAGGCCTCAGGGAGAAGAGTCATGGGATTTCAAGGTACCGGGACCTCGAAAAGCCAGATAGGAGCCCAGCAAGCCCAGGTGGTGCCAGAAGGAGGGCGCAGAAAGACAAGGGCTGTAGGGAAAGCCCCCAGGTGGACAAACAGGTCGTGCTGAACTGTCACGTATTAGGCTGTGGCATATGACAGCCTTGGAGAAGAGACAGAAGGTCTAGGACTGGTGGATAAAGGCAGGCTGAGCCTCGGGGGATCACCCTGCGTGCAGTCTGGGCATTAGGGACTTCTCTGCTCTTGATGGAATGCCACTAAAAACCTACAGCCCAAGGAGCACCTGGATTTGATCAAGCTTGTACACTTGAAAGACCGGATGATGCCAGGAGGCAAGATGGATGGGGAGGGCTGGCTAATAGCAGAATGCTCAGGTAAGACGTCATTGCAATGGCACAGCCAGAAGGGTCAGTGGTGAGAAAGGGTAGAGGAGATGCACAGGAACGATATTACAGAGATAAAACTGACAACACAACGGAAGGGGAAAATATCTCAGACGCTGCAAGTGTCCATACTTGCCAAAGAGGGCAACTGGCTGAAGGGCTCTCTGTCTCTCTGGATTGGAGTCACGTGATAAAGGTGGCTTTGTGAGCAAATGCACACAATACAGCGTTCTTGAATGCCATTTACTGAAAATATACTTCCTGTATATAGTATTTCGTGATATCCTTATTATTTTAATAGCTTTTCATTGAAGTGAAATTCCCACCACATAAAGTTACCGTTTTAAAGCACAGCATTCAGTGGCATTGAGTAGTCAAAATGATAGACAACTACCCACTCTACCCAGCTCCAAGATATGTTCATCACCCCCAGAGGTGACATAACACCCACTAGGCAGTCATTCTCCACGGTCTCCTCCCCCGAGGCCCTGGCAACCACCCAACTGCGTTCTTCCTCCATGGATTCACTCTTCCTCATATTTCATTCAAGTGGGATCACATAACACGTGACCCTTCACGTCTGCGTCTTTCACTCAGCATCAAGTTTCCAAGGTTCATCTAAGCTGTGCCCTGTATCAGTACTGCACTCCCTTCCACGGCACCTTTGCTTTTGGAAGTTTAAAAGCAAGTGGGGAAAACAAGTGTTAGTTCTCGAAGTGAAAACATATTCTTTTTTAGTGTCCACTGAAACTAGAAATCACTTTCTATTTGATACAACTAACCTTCACAGGGATGGATTCTCCTCTCATTTCCTCCAAGTTTGTGCATACCTTCCCGCCACCACAAAATTTACAAAAATAATTACACAGTGACTTCTATTGAGATACAACTAAAGGGTGGCTTTAAAAACTTTCTTAGAAGGTGTAAGTGACTCACTCCGAAGGAAAGCAATTTCATAGTAGTAAAATTTTGACAATGAAGACAAAATGTATTCCTCTCTTATTAATACCGCTTAAAAGCTAAAGATTTTAGGGGACATAAAATTTTATTTTGGAAGTGTGCTTAGGGGGAAAATGGAGCAGAGATTAGTAGCTCAAAAAGTTGGATAGGATGACAATGAAAGCTACGAATGATATGTAGACATTTATAAAAAGCAATTTTAAAACACCGAGGCACAACGTAGATGTAATCTCTTGAAATTAAACTTATTAGGAGAGTGTCTTCGTTTAGTGCTGCCATTTCACCAGGGTCACCTGCCTAGCACACTACACATCAACCTATAATGTCCCCATTTCCAAAACTCCTCAGACAAATTAAGCCACACAGACACCGAAAGTATGTGATGAATATTTGCATCACACTTCAGGTAAAAAGCACTTAGTATCTCTAGACCCACGGACAACACTGTAGTTCAGGATGGAATGTTATTACCACTAACCCACTTTGAAAGACAAGAATCTTACATCAGGTGGTAGCACTGGGAGACATGCCAGGTGTTGGGATTTCAGGAATATTTTGATTATTTGTGAAGAAAATTACATTAAAAAGACAACCTAAAAAGACACATGTTGAATTCCTGGGCCATTTTGCTAGCAGATGAGAGCCATTTACAACTGATTTCACTTGGAGCCATTTATTCTTTATTCCCATTTTTGGATTGTCAGAGAAATTATGGATTTATATGAGCATCCAAATGCTGTGGGTCCTGCCGAAGAATGAACAACAGTCTTTTGTCTGGTGCGTTTGTTAGTGACACTCTTCCCCATGACAATATAGATCTGGGCATTTCTCTAAAAATGCGCTCTGTTTGGCAACTGCAGAAAGGAAGATTTGGAAACCTTCTGAAATTGTCAGGTAAAATGTGGCACACACAATTAAAATAATACACATACAATAATATTACATATTGTATATTTAACATAATATATAGTCTGGTTATAATATATAAAATCTGTTATCTAAAACTCAAAAAATGTATAAGGTGTTTACAATAAAAGCAAAGAAGATAAAACTTCATCGCAAGAACTCCAGACTTCTGGCATTGCTCCAAAAGTGAAAAGAGAAGCATAAATATGTTCTGCAGCACTAACCCTGAACATTGTGTCAGCTTCACCTTGCAGAGCATCGCCCACTGTGCAGACGGAGGGCAGCTCTGCATGGATCGTGCGATGACTCCTCTCCACTGCGAGACTGACAGGGGCCAATCATCACACCACATGTTCACCGAGGACCCGCAACTGAAGTCTGTCTCAACTGGAATCGGCAGCGGAGGCCACAGAGGCCGTAGTGGACAGACAAGCCCCGCCTACCAGCACAGGATTAGCACAAACGCTCTTGCAGAGCCAGAAAATGCCAATTCTCCAGTGACGGCAGCACCTGTTTCTTGAAAGTATGGGGCCTTGGCAAGGCTGCCGGCTGAGTCTTCTCTTGATCCCAAGGAGCTAACCCTGTCCGAACCGCACGTAATGCACTGGTTCCGGCAGGGTCTGGTCAGCACAAAGCAGGAGGGTCTAACTGATGCCACGGGCAAACCTGGGGAAGTCAGTGAAACTCCTGTTTTGTCGCCTTTGTGGAGCTGATCACGACGTCTGAAATCCCCTGAGTTTACATAAATACAAAGACTGTAAGGCCAACAAGTTGGCGCTTCTTAAAGAAATGCAGGAAAAGAATGATCTGAATACACTTTCCCTGGAAATGGAATAAAGAGAATTCTCTGAACAGACTCTCCATAAAACTGTAATGCAAAGTGACAAAATGATGGACCAACAAAGCCTCCCCTCAGAGTGACCCCTTTAAACCAGCCCTGCTCTCACCCACAACCGCCCGCACTCTGGAATCCTGACTTTGCCTGTGCTCACGTCCCCCTCATTAGTCAATGGTTCACCACTTGCCTGCGTATCTCCTAAATCTCCCAGTATACTCTCCAGAGGCTGGCATTCACCCATATAGCTGACTGTAAGTCACTGAAGAAAAAAGCAAATATATCCATATTCACTAAACTATACAGTTTAGGAGATAATGTGGTTTATGGCTCTGCTTTTCAAAGGGAATAGAGCAAAAACTTTGAAATTAGTTGTCTCAC